GCTTAAACAGTATACTTGTATCCTTGGAATTGATTGTCAAGTAGCATTATGCTTATCTAAGCAAGTCAAGCGCTTTATTTGGTACAATATGTTATCACTTTTCACATTATCGATTCATTAAGATATTTACAATAAAAGGTAAGCACTAGTTAGCAGCATATATATATACATGCATACAGATACAAACAAAAACAAATACATAAAAGAACTTACAATTGGGTTCCATTCGTAGTTGATGCTTTGATAAGGAGCAAATTCAGATTGTGGGAACTTTTGATCTGGAGAGAATCCTACAAACAAGATGAAGTGCCACTGTCAGCAACACCCATAAAGATGCTGAGGTTAACTTACCTTAGCCTCATTGAAAAAAAAAATATAGAAATTCAGAAAATACAGAGAGATGACAAATAGATGACTGCAAGTTCACATTTTCAACTTATTTCGGAACTCAGGCCCTGATTCAACCAACTTGTAGCAATGTTTCAATGAAAAAATTTGAACAGAAAAAAGAATGGCTAGTATATAACTGCATCTTTACCTTTTAACTTACTTTGGAACTCAGGGCTTGATTCAACCAAGATACCAGCAACATTTTTAGCAAAAGTCGAATCATTCAATATTCTGAAACAGGCCAGATATCTTACAAGTAAGCAATACTTCTTAGTCCAAAGAACTACAGAAAACACAACAAATAGACTACTACAAGCATCATCCTCAAGTTAATTATCAAAAGTCTAGGTTGTTAGGGCATCCAAGCCCTAGCTCATATTACATAATGAAAATAAGAACACAGAGTACATAAAAATAACATAAAGCTTCTACTTTAATAATCCACCAAGTCCAAAACACAGAAGTACATTTTGATCCATGGCCAAAACACAGCAGTAGTTTCTTTAATAACAGAAGATGGAATTATAATTAGGTCGACTTCTCATTTCTCAACACATTGCTGTTTGTATGAGCTATTAATATATTACCAAGAAAATTATTCCTAAGATCGTTCTTCAATTGAATATATATATGTATAAAAACATCCACCAAGACAAACATTTTTCAGCAAAATTTATTTAGTTCTCAAGACACACTAAAACAAGCCAAAGTAGGCCCACTATCATTTAAATATAATCTACAAGAATGAAGTGGGTTATTCAATCATTCAATAAATGTTTTTTTTTTTTTTTTTTCAATCCCTCATATTTTACCAATCCATGTAACTATCAAGGATATGTAGAATGCCCATGGAACACAAAAAAGGAAAGAAAAAAAAACACATGTTAACAAGAATGAGTTCTAATCCGTAAAAACATATGTTGCCATCTTTGAAAAAAGAAAAAAAGGTTTATCTTTCCATCATCATTTGTTAGTTATTAGCTACACTACTGCATAACATAGTTCAAAGCATACAAAATAAGTGACCTAAAAAAGTGAAAACAAAATATACAATAAATACAAATATGGAAGCTTATATAGACACCTGGTAAGAAAACTTTGAATTTCATCCACTGACAGCAAAACTGCAGATAACTGAGACAGCTCAGTAGCATTGTTTAATCTTATAATTGGAGCGACAACCTTCACTCTTCCAGGATCTAAGAAAAATTCACCAGAGGTTCATTATAAAGATGTTCCGTCACATATAAAATTAGACAGAACTATGATAACAAAATAATACTTTAGAGAGCATGTTCTATTTTACATTTTTTTTTAGTTGTAGTTTCTTGTTGTTGTTACTTGTTCCATCCCAGATTGTGGATTCCTTATCCACTCTTTGTAATTAGCTTTCCTACTTTAATAAAATTATGTTTCCTTTAAAAATAAAATAAAACGTACTTACTTGAACAACCAATCACACCAGAAAGATTGAGTAGCCGTACACAAGGATATCCATCAAGTGTCATGTACATTGAACTCTGAAGATCAGGAACTGACTCCATCATGATTGTCTGTCCTAAAATTTCAAAGAAAATAAAACTATAGTTCAAGACAAACATCATGATTGTCATGTACATTTCCAATGAGTGCTCATATTTTCGACATACAATGACACAGCCATGAAATAAGATTTCTTGATTCAAGTGATTGCACGCAGTGTAAGTTCACCGTAACACATATTCATAGCTAAGAATACATTATGACTATCCATTATTAATCATTGTTAAATCATTATGACCATACATCAACTATTAGTACTTTATGAATATGTATTCTGAAGTTCCATTCACTAATGGATGTATTTAGTACAATAGACCTATTAATAAGACCATTTGTAGCCTTTGAGAGGCATCCAGATTTTCATATTACTTAATATCATTCTCCTTATAAATTTGATATTGCAAAATCCTTCTTGCTTCGTAATAAAAAGAACCACTTCATACTGATACTATACTCCAAGATAACACAATGAATAAGATCAGAAACTCAGCAGCTACAAACCGCAGTGGCATTCCAGATGAGAATTAGATATGTGCTCAAATTGGCAAGATAGATATTATGCAAATTGGAAGCAAATGACTCATGTGAAAGGTGAGAAAAGTAGGAAAACAACAAAGTTGAGAACAGCATATAACAAACAAGGTTTCCATTTTCACTCATTGAGTTTCTTAGCAACCAGACATATAGTAATAATCAAAATCGATCACAACCAGAAAAAGTTGCGTAAATTGGAAAGAGATTGAAGTAATTGCAGATAGAGAGCGAGAAATGGAAGAAAGACCGCTCACCAGAGAATGAGAGACGAAGCTGAAAACTGAAAAAGAAAAGCAGTTGAAGGAATTTCATGGCCATGGTGCTTCTGCAGCTGACCTCCTGCTCTTGCTTACCAGAACCCTAGACCATCGTCGACTGCAAGCAACCAAATGATTTCCGTCTAACCTCTCTCTCTCTCTCCCTCTGACCCTGAGGTGGAACGGGTCGGGTTGGTCCTTTTTTTCCCGTTATTTTGGCGTCAATTTTAAAGACTCTATCAACCAAAAAACAATCAAAGCTTCCTGGAAACTATTTTTGTTTTTCCCGTTAGTGGTTACTTGTTTTTATCAAACAAAAAGAACCGTATAGGACATTTGTAACTTAAGTGATTAAGAATATTTAGCTTAATATTTAATATTTTATATTCGATTTTCCCTTCATTGATATTATTTTTATAAAAGCATTTAACCCTACATTCAACATCTCATACTCGATTCTACCTTCCTTAATATCCGATTCTACCTTCCTTAATATCGTTTTTATCCAACGGTTTCCTTTTATACCCATAGAGGCACTACAACTAGGTGGGTGGGTATTGAAATTAGGGGCATCAAACTTGGCTCAAGACCAGCTACTCTTCATACCAAACGGAATTCTGATACTAGTCAAATTTATAAGCGAGAGCATGTCTAATTCCCCACAAAGATAAAGAGCATGTGTTGTCCGCGCGGAGACGGGAGAAAAAAGTGAAGTGAGTAAGTTGGGCTCTAGAATACTACTGGGCCTCAATGTGGGCTTTCAGACCCACTCCACTGATCCGACGACACTTGTTTTATTTTGGGAAGAGCTTTCATTTCCAACGTCGCAACGCAACAACCACATCTTCCGTTTCTATCAGTCTTCTTCGTAGCTCACAGAGCTCGAATCTCTAGACCTCTGAAAACAACAAAAATCATACACATTGTGAGAGCGAGCTATTGTCGACAGAAATGGGGTTGGGATCGCTTGCTTCGAGGGCCATGCGGCCCGCCCCCCCCGCCCACCCCGAGCCCGCCGCCGATCTCCCTCCCCGGCCCCCCGTGGGCGGGGCCCGAGTCCACTTCCCCAACCCGGAAGATGCCATCGAGGTCTTCGTCGATGGTTACCCGGTCAAAATCCCCAAGGGATTCACTGTGTTGCAGGCCTGTGAGGTCGCCGGCGTTGACATCCCTAGGTTCTGCTACCACAGCCGGTTATCGATCGCTGGTAATTGCCGGATGTGTCTCGTAGAAGTTGAGAAGTCGCCGAAGCCCGTCGCCTCTTGTGCCATGCCTGCTATGCCTGGTTAGGATTCCCTTTTATTCTCCATTTCCAGTTTTTTGGTTAGCTGTTCATTGCTTTTGAAAGTTCCATATTTGGATTTTCTCCACTCCCCGTTTTGGCTCTACTATTTGGGTATATTTCGATTTTTATGGAGCATGATTAAGGCCTCTAAGCTGTATCGTATGGTTTATGAAAAGTTTCCTCCTTGTCAAATTTCTAATCTCATTCGTGTATGATCTTAATGTGACTATTGGGAGGATGCGTATGTATTAGTTTTTTTCTCTTGGACGTAGATTCTTTTACATTTTTGCTAAATATTAATATGGATTGTGATTATATTTAAGACGCGGATGTTCTGTAGAGAACGATTTTATGAGCCTCTGATTATTAGATTCTATTGTAACCTCTTTTATTCTGATTTGAGTTTTTAATAATTGACCAATGCAATGGTTTGAAGATGGGGTATTTTTTGGTCGCAGTAGACCTCATATATGTTTGCTGAAAGTTGCAGTTTTCTTGACAAAATTTCTTTTTAGGCATGAAAATTAAGACTGATACTCCAATAGCCAAGAAGGCTCGAGAAGGGGTGATGGAGTTTTTGCTGATGAATCATCCATTGGATTGTCCAATTTGTGATCAGGGTGGAGAGTGTGATCTGCAGGATCAGTCTATGGCCTTTGGATCTGATCGCGGCCGTTTCACTGAAATGAAGAGATCCGTAGTGGATAAGAATCTTGGTCCTTTGGTGAAGACTGTGATGACTCGTTGTATTCAATGTACAAGGTCAGAATCTAACATTACCTTTCATACCCACTTATTCACCACAGTAATTAACTTTTTCTTTTCTAACATTTTTAATTGCTTAGGAATTCAATTACAAAGCATGATAAACTAACATTGATTGATTGAATTTTTTATTTTTTTTTTCGGTTGGAGAGAACATTATTTTTGTGATGCTGTAGCATTTTAACATGTAGAAGTATGCCATATTTGAAAGTTGTCAGTCTAACCCTAGTTATTACATTCTACAGTGAGTTATGAAATTGTCTTGCCAAATCCATGTAGCATGATGATCTGTCTTCTAGGTATCATAAGTTTTCAAATTAACAAAATGTACACAATATAATTTATAGGGTTAAGTTTATTGACCTGCTTGTAATTGTTTCTCGGTTTTTCTGCTGCATTAGACATGAGAATAATTTCCCTCAATGGGGTTATCTTATAAGTTTAATCATCAAATTTTCCTGTGATAATGATGCTGTCAATGCTGAAATCTCATGACTGGTATTCCAATTGAAGAAGATTATGATTTTCTGTGAGTTGGTACCTATTTTCGCATTTGGATTTCTTGCTTTTAATTGCTCCCATGAATGTGTAAGATAATTTTGTTGTTTGCATAGATCGTGGATTCTTGTAGCCACATAATGCCATATCTTACTAACTATCATCGACAAGGCAATTTGTTGATATGTTGTGATGTGAGTGACATGTGGATGTTGACGGACCAATTATTTCAATCCTATTCATCTACACTTTAGCACCAAGTTGTGTATAGTAGTGATCTTCTGGAGATCAACTCTTCTAGAAACCATAAGAACCTAATTGGCCTTAAGCATATTTGAATTATCTTTCAGTATTCTATATGTACTTAGCATTTGAAACAGGAAATGAGGCTGTCTTATACCTAGAATGTTATGTAATGTTGAAATGCCTAGTTATCGGAATCTTTGTATAGTTCATTTCAAATTCGTTTCTGCTCTTTATAAAGCTGTTGAGCCAAGTTTGGATGCATATCCATGATATAATGTATTATCAAGTTAGCAGTACAGTGTCTCTAACACCTTATTTCTATTATCACACCTGTAGTATTAAGTTATCTTAAGTCTTCTAGGGGTTGTTCAGGATGTTTGCTTTTGTTTCTTTCTTATCTTGTGGTCACTGCTTCAACTACACTTTAAGGCGCACTTTTATTTAACCATAGTTGCAAGCTTCTGATATAAAGAGCACTTTTGATTGAACAGGTGTGTCAGATTTGCAACAGAGGTTGCTGGGGTTCAGGACCTTGGCATGTTAGGCCGTGGCAGCGGAGAGGAAATTGGGACTTACGTTGAAAAACTTATGACTAGTGAACTTTCGGGAAATGTGATAGATATCTGTCCAGTGGGAGCTCTAACCTCAAAACCATTTGCATTTAAAGCTCGAAATTGGGAATTGAAGGGAACAGAGACCATTGATGTTACTGATGCTGTTGGGTCGAACATTCGAATTGATAGCCGAGGTCCAGAAGTCCTGCGCATCGTTCCACGGTTAAATGAGGTAATTTTTTATTGGACTATTTTGATGTGCATTATCTTTTGGACGAGTTATTTTGTTTTCACAATACAATTAATGCAATACATTTTTTTTTCTTTTGGGAAAAGGGACAATTTTATTGCACAACCAAAAAATACGAACAAAGAACAAAGAAAAGATTCTTATACATAAAAACCAACATGCACTAACATTTTTTTGGCATTAAAGTTACTGGCTGACATTAGTCTTTGTTAATTTGTCGGATATTGATTTCCTCTAGTGCCAAAGGTAGCTGAGAAGATTAAACAGGTCAGAGAATTCCTAATAAATCATTAATAGTTTCTTTTATTTGCTGCTTAGAAAATGCCACTGCATAACTACAACATTCTGTCACAAAAAAACGTTATTTTGCATGGTCATGATTAAAGATACAAAAGGCCCCATCATAGTATAGTTGTTCCCAACAAAGTGTGATACAACTAAACAGTTACAGGTTAGTTTCTCTCATGATGGACCTTGCGAACCTAACATGTGTATCCATAAATGCAAGAACAACCATCCACATTTCATAGGTCTTGCACATCCAGTTTTCCAAAAAAAGAGGCCACATGGACATGGGCACACAGCACTAACGTTATGTTAATATTCAATTTTTTTTTTAATCCAAAAATTGAAAAGTAAAACCTCGCTTCCCTTATCCATCAGTATGAATCAAGTGCATGGCACCATGAAATCTGACCGTAAAACAGGAGTTGATGGAAGAGGATCAGTGGTGTCTAGATTTGAAATTCAACGGAGTGGCTGGGGCCTGAGGGGAAAGACTTAGGTATTCCATAAAATTAAGCCGTGTGGATGTGGGCACCACAATACTAACACCATCTACAAGTAGTACTTTTTTTTCTTTTTCCTTTCTGCAAATTGACACAAGTCAAACCTCACCCTCTTCCCATCGTCACCATGAAACATGACCATAAAACAGTGGTTGCTACAAGAGGATGGGGACAGTCTAGATGTGAGGTTCAATGGAATGGTTGGGCCTTAGAGGTTCGCTGTTGTTTTGAAGGGTGAGAGAGAAGGTGAAAAATGAAGGATAAACATCTGATAAAGTGGTGTCAACTTGTTTCTGGACTCCAATATGGGCTGCATGCAAATGGCTGAGACCAACCATAATATTGTCTTTGGACTATTGGCGATTTCAGATTGTAATCAACTTTTTTTGTGGTTCGGTCAATTGACCTGACTCTTATTGACCAGCCCACTTGTCAGCCATGACTTATGTACTCTTTTGACTAAATCTACTCGAATTTTAGTAATTTTTAGGAGCAATGTTTGGACTATCCGAAACATTTTTAGTCACAATCTACTCGAGTCTGAGTCAAGAAACTTGTCCTAGTTTGGTCTCTTATTATTGACCTTGAACACCTGAACCTGTCATGTTTGATCTGTCTCAGTTGTCCCGAGTGTATCTTAACTCTCATGGCTCCATTTATTTTCTTTTGATTTTGCCTTTAGTCTTGATGCTAGTTAAGTTTGCAAGTGAACCCATATTATTGATTTCTTCATTAACGGCATGTGACTTCCTATTTGGAAGTCAGTGTTTAAGGACATGCAGATCATGAAATTTGCCAATCTACTTGGGTGCACTAGCACCATATATCAAGACACTGAAATTCAAAGTATTTGGGTGTTATCCTTCACCTTAAATTTTTTCTTTTCTTTTGTTTCTATAATGTATTTCCTTACCACCTCTTGCAGGACATAAATGAAGAATGGATATCAGACAAGACTCGATTTTGTTATGATGGTTTGAAGAGGCAGAGGTTAAATGACCCTATGATTCGTGGTGCTGATGGGCGCTTTCAGCCTGTGAGCTGGCGTGATGCCCTTGCCGTAGTTGCTGAGATGGCTCATCAAGTTAAACCAGAGGAGATTGTTGGGATTGCTGGTCAGCTGTCTGATGCTGAGTCCATGATGGCACTGAAAGACTTCTTAAATAAAATGGGTTCAAACAATGTGTGGTGTGAAGGAAATGGTTCAAATCGTGATGCTGATCTTCGATCTGGATATATTATGAACAGTAGCATTGCTGGGCTTGAGAAAGCGGATGCTTTTCTATTGGTTGGTACCCAGGTATGTTTCTAGGAATTTAATCTTAATGATCTTTATAGTCCAGTTTAAGTGATTTTCACCTGCCTCTTACATGCTCGTATGACATGCTGAAGATGGATGAATGGGTAGTGGCCTAGTGGGTATTTGTTGATGAGTGGATAAAGTGTTTTTTAAATATGGTTTTGTTGAGGAACTCATACTTTCATATTATATTTCCAGCCAAGAGTAGAAGCTGCTATTGTAAATGCTAGAATCCGGAAGACAGTGCAAGCTACCCACGCCAAGGTTGGGTACATTGGCCCTGCAGCTGATTTCAACTATGATCACGAGCATCTTGGCACAGGCCCTCAAACACTTCAAGAAATTGCTGAGCGTCGTCACCCATTTTCTTCAGTCCTCTCAAATGCCAAAAACCCTGCCATCATTATTGGTGCTGGGGTCTTTGAGAGAAAAGACAAGGATGCAATTTTTTCTGCTGTTGAAACCATTGCAAAGTATGCTGAAGTTGTAAGGCCTGATTGGAATGGAGTCAATGTACTGCTTCTCAAAGCTGCCCAGGCTGCAGCACTTGACCTTGGACTTGTGCCAGAATCTGAAAACAGCATTGAGTGTGCAAAGCTTGTTTACCTGATGGGAGCTGATGATGTTAACTTGGAGAAGGTTCCAAGTGATGCATTTGTGGTTTATCAAGGGCATCATGGGGACCGGGGTGTGTATCGTGCCAATGTCATCCTTCCTGCAGCAGCATTCAGTGAAAAGGAAGGGACGTATGTAAATACAGAAGGGTGCTCTCAGCAAACAGTACCTGCAGTTCCGACTGTCGGTGATGCTAGGGATGACTGGAAGATAATTCGGGCTCTATCTGAGGTTGCAGGTGTGCGGCTGCCATATGATACACTAGGGGCCATCCGATCCCGGATCAGGACAGTAGCACCAAACATTTTGCAAATAGACGAGAGAGAGCCAGCTACATTTTCATTTTCAATTAAGCCGGAATCCAAGCAAAAGTTGGATTCAACTCCATTTGGGACTGCCGTTGAGAATTTCTATATGACTGATTCGATCACCAGAGCATCAAAGATAATGGCACAATGCAGTTCAATGCTGTTGAAGAAGTGACCAGTGGATTTTTGTTATTCTCTAATAAAGTTGCAGATTCGCCTGTTTTCTCCTGTTATTTTTATGGGGTTGAGTAAGGCCCTGTTTGGCCAAAGCTTCTGGAACATTGGAAGTACTTCCAATAAATTTATTCTAGGTTTTGTTTCATTGTAATGCAATGTAATAGCATTTTCTGTACAACTGTTTGCATATATAATTTGGGATTTTTCAACTTATTTGTTGTACATCTTCACTGAATGTACAACACCGAAGCTTTTTACTCAAATTCGAATGCAACACATGAAGGACCAAATCAGAATGCAAATGAAGTGAAAAAATCTTTATAAATTAGCTGAGTTATATGTTTTCTCAGTTCCAAAGAAAAGTAGCGTTCATATGTTTTCTTGTTTCCCAAGTCAAAGCTCCTCTATATAAAGGGGCTTCTTGTTATGTAGATGTTAGTTGAATAACCAAATCTTGTCACTCTGTTAATTTTTCTGATACAAACGATATTCTACTTTAATCTAATCTAAATTATGGGAAAGGGGATTCGAACTCGGATGCAGAGTAAAGAGCACATTGACTCTAGCCAACTTGGTGTTGTTAGGTTTGCTTCATCATTTGAGTCTTTTGTTTTATGTCAAACAAAACTCCACCAATTCCTCGCCAATTCATGAATGTGTTTGTCTGTCCTGTTTGTGCCATTTGGGTGGCTCTTCTTCTTGTATGCTCTTGTTGAGCCGCTTATTTACTTAATTTATTTATTCTTGTTTTGGTCTTGGTCATGTATCTTTCTTTGTTTTAATAAGTTTAGTTTTTACAACCACGTACGGGCTTTGTTCAACAAAACCAAAGGCGGAGAAAACAAAAGGTAATGCGCACAAGAAAATAAAATGAGATAGTAATTATGCAATTCATTCACACAAAAACATAAAGACATGAAAACCTACAAACGGAAACACCCTCCTTCCTATTTCTTGCACTTTCTTATTCAAATGCCAAACACTACAAAATAAAAAAGAAACTATGGGATCAAAAAAGTAGCAGCAGCATATGAGATGGCACTGGCAAGCCCCAAACGGCCATGAGGGTTTTGGTTACTTCTGTTTTATCCTCGGAGAAGAAGAGTGACCCCAAAGGAAATTGTGCACACAATATGCCCCAACAGAGCCAAGAACCCGTACTTCCTGTCATCATCACACCAAAAACAAACAAAAAAGTAAATTAAAAATGAATTCTATAGGCAAATTTTCCTTTTCCAAATAGTTCAATTCAACATATTAAGACGGTGGCCACATATATATAATCAAATCTTATTTGATTCTGCTTTCGGTCAAAATTAACAATCTCACGACATAACATGACGCACGTTAAGTTCATTCGAAGGTAACAATCTCACAACATAACATAACATGTTCAGTCCGAATTAGCATATCACAACATAACATATATTTGATAAAATACTTGAAAATTGTACTAATTGTATGATATATTGTTTGATATAAGCGATATTGGGGATGGGGAATCGAACTTAGCAGCTCGGTTATAGGGGTAAATGTTATTAACCACTTCAATTATAACCTTTTTTGTCTTTCACAAGTAAGCAGATTGAAAAATGGTAATAAGACAAATAGTCATAGTTCTTTTCATCAAAAAGAAGAAAAATAACATAACATGTCATATGCTAAGATATGTTAAAAATGATTAAATGAGTAGAGATTGGGAAATAGGTAAGATTGAAAATGGAGAAAGAAATAGGGCAAACCCGACGGCAAGGCGGTTCTCGGGGTCGCCGGTGGAGTAGCCTTTGAAATAGAAATAGCGGGTGACAGTATAAAACAGACCAAGGCCAGCTGAGATGCAAGGATGTTTAAGACCTCCCAATAACAGAAGCACAAGGAACAAAGGCATCAATTCCAGAGAGTTCTGGTGGCCTCTCTGAACACAATTGAAAACTTTTGCATCTTTGTTGTCAGATTCTGAAGCGTAAAGGGTTGGATAAGGCACCTTGTACCTGCCCAGTTCATAACAAATTCAATCAGAGATTTTAACAGAGATTTCTGCAAAAAAATTTATTTAAAAAAATAAAAAAATAAAAAATAAAAGCTTTGCATTTTACATACTTCTTTCTGGCCTTGCCTACTTTGCCAGCCATCCAGAAATTGAGAAAGGTGTAGAGAACAAGAACAAGGACTACATAGCCGTACTCTCTGGGGAGCAATTCAACTGCGGTGGCCATTTGGTTTTTGGGTATGAACGTGAACTCAGGGAGATGGGGTTTACGAATTGACTTCTTGACTGACCGACTGTGTCTGTTGTGTGTGTGGATATAGATGAGCCTCTTGTTCTTTTCACTTGGGTTTATTTTGGTGCGTAATGGGCGCCCACGTTAGCTTTTATACTTGTTTTGCGACTTTTTCTCCAAGGCAGATAGAGTTCAATATTATTTCATCAATCAATATTCAATAATAATATATGTCAGAGTAGGCTTGTGTAACAAGTACATCTTTTTTCCTTGTTTCTTTTTAATGAGGAGTTTGAGGTTGTATTTGTCCAGCCTGCACAGAGTTTGACAATTGTTTTAAATTAGTTTACAATGGGTACCACCATAACTGAATTTCCCCTCTAGATCATTGATCTAGGGAAAGTGCTCCACGCCTGCGTTTTTAATTCGAAAATGGTTAATATTTTATATAATTATTGTAAATTAATTGAAGACTTTTTATTATATAGTACAAGGAAATGGAACAAAGGCCCTATTTGGGATTGCTTAGACTTTATTATATAGAATTACTGATTATAAACACACCCAAAAAATATACAATTGTTGATTTTGGGGTTGAGTTTGGGTGTGTTTCTATGTTTAAATAGTGTTAGGGTTTTTTTATAAATACATGTCTAGGATTGGGTTTATTTATAAATTTGTATTTTTTTTAAGGGGCAAAAGTCATACGCAAAGGATTGATTAAAGGGGTAAAATAAATCATTTTTATTTTCAATGGGTTATGTAAGATTAGACCATACTTTTCAGGAGCACTAGAGCAACTACGCCTATAAATTATGGATTGGTGTTCAAATTATTTATATATAATAAAAAATTCTAAGGAGGTATTCATGGATGGAATATTAGTCATTTGGTGGTGATGGTTTTGTTCACTATTTTATTTTTACTGTTTTTTAGTTTTTTATTTTTATTTTTTTAAGTTGACTTGCAAGCAAATGACCTCATATCTCTTCCTACGGGTGGCCCTTGGTATGTGTTCAACCGTTTTGCGTTTACTCCTATGATGGAAGGACAAAGTTCTCCACTGCTTTGAGAACCATAAACTGGTCAACAAGTCAGCTTTCTTTGGTGTGCGAGCGTGCCACTGCTAGTAATAAAAATTCTAGCAAACTTAGCTTGGAATGGATAACTTGCGCCTCAAGTTACTGATTTCTGCAAACAAACGATTGTGAATTTGGGTGAGGAATATCTCCCAAGTAAGTTCTTTTCTTGCCTCAGACTGGTGAGGACTTTAACAATTTATCTCAGTATAAAGAGGTTGTTTTGGCCAGAATGGTTGATGGAATTTAAACTGTTTTTAGGCAGAACTGCCTTTTACAAAACTATAACAATAAATACTCATGCTAGAGAGAGATGAAGAGACAGCTGGAACTCCACTTCTGTCGGGATGGAGGGATCTGATCCAGGCTAGACTGGTCATGCCTAGGCTGGACTGGATCGTTGACCAATTTGACTGCTAAGCTTTAACTGTAAATCGATACCAAAGGTTGATCTTGGCAGAGCTTCAATGTACCTCAAGCTTTTGTGAAGCTTTTGAGTGGGCAGAACTGCGGTTTCCTCAGTCTGCGCGGGCAGAAGTGACTGTTTTTTAGGGCTTTAGGGGCTAAAGACTGCACTGTGAATTTTGTTGAGGTTTTCCATGTTTGGGGAAAGCTCAAGCTCTACCTGTCTTGATTTTTTGCTGAACCAAATTTGTAACGAGAGAAATCTCGTTTTGAATGACTTATTCATTAAGTCTGAGCCTTGGGAATTCAGATCTGAAGCTGGTTTCACTTGAAATTCAAGTGGGCTTTTTGGTTGATTCTTGAGTTGTCCATTTGACTGATGGTTTTCTTGTATAAGATTTTGTTTGATTGGGTGTTGAATTTTTTGTGTGTTCTCCTTGTTCACTCTTTCTTTGTATTTATAGTCTTCTGGAGTAGGGTGATTCTGTTTAATATTGGGCGGCAAAAGATATCTCCCCTTTTTTTCTCTTTTTTTAATGGAAAGAAAGAAAATAGGATTTCATCAGTTTTGGCAGATAGGCTCTCAAATAGGCAATCACTTCCCTGTTTTTCTTGAAAAAAAACCTAATTTCAACTGCCCCTTGTGACATTTCATCCGTGATGGTTAGTTTGACTTCTTTTCTGGACAGCTCCCTGCTTTCCTGCTTATCCTTCTCTGAGATTGTAGCTTGCTTATCTCTTTGGGAGAATTACCTTCTCTGAAACTTTTCAATCACTTCTTCTATGACAGTTGCCATTGTTGACTTTCCTTTATCCCAGAGATGTCACGTGGGTTTGTTTTCTGTTTCTGGGCTCCCCCTTTTTATCACATCGGGCCTATGAGGCCTAGGTTAGTTTTGTTCGGTTTGATAAGCTTTGGGCTGGGCTCTTCTGGTTTTTGGGCTTCCATCTTCCTGTTTTTTGAAGACCAAATTCTTTGATTTTTGCAGCCTTATTCTGGGCCTTTTTCACTGGGCTGGGTGTGTCAATTTTTAGGCCCAAACAGTATGGTGAAAACCGAATCAACTTATTATCAACCAAAACTTTTTTATTTGGTAACTACATTTTAGAATTTGAAAATCAAATAATTTGAAACCGAAAAAAAATATTGATTTTGTTGTGGTGAAAAAAAAAATCGAATTACTACTTATTACCATAATATATCGACGTAGTTACTAAAATATTAGTGAATATTAATACTAAACTAAACTACTAATGTTTATTGTATACATGTAAAGAGATACATATATGTATTGCATAAAGAATTTATAAACATATTTATTAGGTTATCATACGAGTATCATTAATATCGTGGGAGCACAAATTCTTCAGTCCATGACATGTGGACACAAATGCCTGTATACTCTGATCTAGTACTAGTATTACTTTCAATAATTTGATAAATTCTTACCCTCATTATATGTACATATTGAGTTACACTACACTCATTAGTCCCAAAATGTAAGTACTAATTTTGATGTACTAGTTGTAATGCATATATAATATTAGACTTACTAGTACTAATTAGTAGTATTAATGAACAAATTCTTATACTACTTAGTTTATAAGAAAAAAAGTAGTGTTACAAATATACGTACATGTAGTTCATAAAAATACATACACAAAGCCAAGTGTACTAAACTATTAATTGTAAGAGAGTTTGTAAATTAGACTCACTACTAGTTACTTGTAATTAAGCGCCGAAATATTGGGGATATTATCTTCTTCTTTTTTGGGGAGGGCGATATTTTGTATTGTATATGTGTACTAATCGTATAAATATCGATAATATCGGGGAAGTTTCGGCACGGCTAATGTCCTTCAATTATCATGAGCATTTAGTTAATATATCATGATAATATCAATAATATCGCAATATCGACATGGAATAGGTGAAAGGCTTATGCACGTGCACATGCGGATTCAAACTCCTTCCACTTCTATTTTTCCTCCAACCTTTTCCCTACCCTTCTTATCTCATGCCTTTTAGGATGGAATCGAGCGGCTCATAGAAAGAATGTGAGACCCAATCTTCAAATGATTTTGCTTATAGCCAACGTCAACCAATCTTGGATCTATATGGGTGACATGTTAACAATTACATGCAAAACTATTTTGAGGATTTATCATTTGATGACTACTCTTCATAGTACACATAACCTGCACATAGAGATGGTGAAGATAGTGACAAATTTGATCCTCATAGGAACTCTATGTGGCACTAAGTCACTCATGTATTTTACCATGCAATGTATAAAATGTAAAATATTGTAGTAAATCATTATAAATAAATGATTATGGTGTGTTTAATCTTCTTTCATTAATTACTACATATTTTTTACACTCATAGTGTTTGTCAGCTCGCTATATTATTGTTGAGGCCCAAAAAGATCCACGGTTCGGTTCAAATAAATTCCCGGCCCAATGCGATACCTTACAGAGAAGAAACCCGATTTGGGCACGCGAAAGTTCGTCATATGCGCTTGCACACATGCCACTCCAAGCAAATAAGCAACACGCCACGCTACAAGCTTAAGTGGGCCCAAACCATGCAAGATGTCTGAGGCTTGCTTAAGTGGGTTGTGGTATGAATGGTAATAAGTTGACATAATACTCATTGATAGGCTGAGAAATAGAAGTCCCGAGGTTGCTTGAGAGCCTAGGAACTCAAGCCCATTTCTTAGGCTCAAACATGTGGGTGAACACAAAAGAGAAAGTAGCCCAACCAAAATAGCTCAACAATTAAGCTAGCCCATCTACTTGATAAACCAACTTATTGTCCTAAAAGGCCTAAGCAATCCAAGAAAATATCTACAAATCTCCAGCACCAAGCTGAAAAATAAAAGCCACGATGAAAGCCAAAATATCCATGTGTATAAGCTGCTGGGAGGCTCTAGCACATGGGGGGAACAAGTTTCAAGCAAAAATATCCAAAAACCAAGGGATACTTGAGCAAAACACCCTTCAAACTAGTATACATACCCATTTCTTTCCCCCCATCAAATCTAGCCATAGAAGAGGGGAGAAAAGAAGGAAGAAAAATGGCTGAAAATGGGGTTTCTCCACTGAGGAAGCTGCGGGAAAGAATATTGAGCTCCCAAAAATCCCTGATTTTGTGCAAATGGGCAGAGTGGATTTCACCAAAATAGGATGATTGAAGGGATGAGAGGAGAAAGGAAGGGAAAGACTTGGCCAAATTGGATAGAAACCATTAGGGTTTCTTGGAAAATGATAGATTCCATCGCCTATAAAAAAAGGCATTTCCTACCCATCATAACAACTCATATCTAGAGAGCAAGCTTCATCTCTCATATCTGAAACTCTGCAATTTCGTGCCCTATTCCTCCATCTCCTCCCATTTTCTCTTCTGGCAAGCCATTCCAGAGTCTAACATAGCTTTTGTCAGGCTGCTGGAAAATTACCCAAAACACATAATACTTCACCACTAGCCACAACACACATCTGGATAGCAAGCTTTATCTCTCACCTTTGAAACCTCTGCAATTTCGAGCCTCATCATTCCATCTCTTCTCATTTTCCCTTTTGGTAAACTTTTCCAAAGCTTGACAGAGTCTCTGTCAAGCTGCCGGAAAC